TGAGCTGTTTGTTGTTCAGCATCTTAGCTGTAGAGGGCAGTGTCACTGGCCCTCATATGTGGGATCTGAACCGGGGCCCTCTGGTGTCCCAAGCCGGTTCTTAACCATCATGCCACTCGGCCGGCCCGCAGCCTTGCATTTCTGTAGGTTCCTGTGGATGCAGACTTGCTTCCAGGTCACGCAGAGGTAAGGGAGGGTCTCGGAGCCTCACCTTCTTCCACTGCCTCCTGCATGGGCTCCCAGGTGTCCTGGAGCTCTTTCCCTGCTACTCTCCCTACACTTCCATCTGAGGTCCCTAGAAGGTGGTCACCCAAGGCCCCAAAGGGGCTGCTCCAAGGTCAGGGGCTTGAGTCCAGACCAGGGATTATATGGATTGGTTCCCATTTCTGGTGAGCAGTGGCATGAAGTTTAGAAAATATTACACTCACAGTGCTCGGACATGAGATTGAGCTGGGAATGCTCAGGCAACCTTAGGTCTTCATGGTGTCTGGTGGAAATAGCAGGAAGCAGGCATTAGACCTGGAATAGTAGCCGGAGGAGCTGGGCCCCCATGCTGAGGGCGGTGGGAGCCAGAGAAGATCTGGAGCAGAGGGCAGTGATCTGACCCCGGCTGAACAAGCTTTTTCTGCTGCAGAGTAGAGAGCAGATTTTGGGGTTGTAGGGAGACCAGGCAGAGGCTGCTACAACAGTCCAGGCGAGTGTTACTGGTAGCTGGACCACAGAGATAGCTGGGAAGTCAGAGACGTGTTGAAGTCTGTGTCTGGGTTTTAAGTAGGTTCGAGCAGACTCTGATGTAGAGAGTGGGGGAGAGAAGTGGAAAAGTTAGGGGTGACTCCGATATGTTTGGCCTTAGTAGCTGTCAAAGTCGGTGGTAAGAGTAATTTTTAGTGGGACTATTAGTCAGTTTGGGGCCATGTTGAACTGGGATGTTCCAGAGACCCTTGAGTGGATCCGTCGAGTGGGCACCTGGACACACAAGTTAGAGTTCAGGTGAACGGTTCAGATTGTAGACACCCACAACACCGATGGCGTGTGGACCAGGATGGAGCTATGGGTCAGTTTTGGCATTGGGCATCTTCAGTCCTGGTAGCAATGCCGTTAGGTAACAAGGGAGGGGACGTGCGGCCAAGGACTGGGGCTCTTGCTGGACACTTGGGTGGGAGTGGTGAGGGAAAACAGTGCCATGGGAATGGGGTGCAGAGTGAGGAGGGTCTGTCTGTCTGGTGGCCACAGGTTCCATGGGGAGTGGACATGACATGGATGTGGACATAAAGACAGTGAGAGGAAAGTAAAGCGGGTGGCTCCCCTGGTTCCAGTCCTTGCTGGGACCTGGGATTCAAAATCAGATGGGACCATCTGGGGAATCGGTGGGTCTGATGTGAGAGTCAGTGAGCCTGGACTTCCAATAAGCATCAGAGGAAGCTGACACTGGTGAGGAGACACCTTTGTGACAGAAGTGGAAAAGGGCTGAGGGTGTCTGAACTCTGCGTGTGGTTCCAAGTGGCTGTGGATAAAACGAGGAATAGAGTCAGGTGGGGAGGCCTTCAGAGCATGCCTGGGGGTTGCCCCTGGTAGTCAGGGCCATCAGAGGCCTGGACAGGACGGGGTTTTGATCACATTTGCCAAGGACCCTGTGGATGCCTTGTACACACTGGCACATGGTGAGGCCAGGGAGAAACATGCTGTGTGTGTGTGTGTGGGGGGCGGGTGGCCGTGAGGGGTTGGGGTTGTAAAGGGAGGTGTGGTACAAGGAATGATGTGCAAGCTGGGAGGGAGTGTAAACTGATGGCCCAGGCCCCCGCACTGGGGGCTGAAGGGAGAACGGTGACCCACATTTACTTGTTTGGGAAGCACAGTCTGGAAGACCCCAGGTGAACTGTCTGGCAGGAGAAGGGTGAGGGCTTGCAGGCCAGGCCTAGAGTGTACCTGACATCTGTGTGTCCACCCACCTGTTGTTGCTGAGGGCTGAACAGTGGTTAATGGGACCACAAAGAGAGACTGGGCATCAGCATCAGTGGCACCAGGGCCTGGTGTCTCCTCCAAGGTGGGAGCTAGGAAGGAGGGTGTATGTTTGATGCCTAGAGTCCTGGGAAAGAAGATTGTACATAAACTCAACTGTCTTCATCTTGGCAGGGCCGTGTGACCTTTGAGGATGTGGCTGTCTACTTCTCCTGGGAGGAGTGGGGGCTCCTTGAGGAAGCCCAGAGACTTCTGTACCGCAGTGTGATGCTGGAAAACTTTGCACTGATGGCCTCTCTGGGTAAGGGCTTCACAACCCACTCCAGCATACTGGGCTGGGCTCTGCTCTTCCCCTTTTTCCTAGGGGCAGGTCTATCCTTCCTGGCGCATTGCACCCTTCCCTGTGTTCTGGAGTGGGTGTAGTGCAGGCACCCGGCCTGTGCCTTGGCTGTGTGCTCTACCCCTACTCTCCCCAAGCTACCGCAATACTTGCTGCCCCAAAGCCTTATGGGAAAGGTTTGGAAATGAGGAGTCTTGCAGTTAACTAAAGTATCACACTGTTGGCCTCTCCCTGGCCTGGTGACACTGTGAAGATCCATGGCAGTTCTGTGCCCCCAGATTCTGCCCTCTTCCTCTGACTGTGGCAAGAATTGAGGCACCGACATGGCCACTGCTTGACTGGGTTGTTCCTGCAAGACCCTTCTCTAAGGTTCTTTTTGAAATATTTAGTTTGTTTTCCTGTCATGGGGTAGGTAGCTTTGACTGACCATCTTGTCTCTTTCTTAGGACTTGCGTCTTCCAGGTCCCATGAAATTACCCAGCTGGAGAGGTGGGGAGAGCCCTTTCTGTCTGCCTGTGGAGTCATGACTATGGCCGTGCAGAAAGGTACTTGGAGGGAGGAGTTGGAGAACTGTGAACCGAGGGAGAGGTTCAAATTGTACCAGAGTCTTTCCAGTGGGCCCTGATGTTTTGGTGCCAAGGCAAGGGGCCATGGCTGATTTCTAGCTTTTCTTTGCCAGTTGCCCACTTTTGTCTCCTCTGATTTCTGACTCCCCACCTCTCTCTCCTCCATATCTCACCTGGCCCTTTACACTCCTTCCTCTGTAGTACTCTACAACAGTGGCCTTGTTTTGTATTGTTTTATGAGGTGAGTCAGGGGCAGCCACAAACTTAGAAAAAAATAAAGTTTGTTGTGCTCAACAGGTCTACAGAGACAATTACTGCATGCTGGGGGGCGGGGGGGGGGAAGCAGAGAGTGAGCTAGGACTGTGGGCAAGTGCCTCTACTGGGAGTTGGGAGGAATACATGGAAAGAGGCACCAGGGGATGTCACTAGAACATTTGAATGTCCCTAGGTCACAGTCATGGGAGGGCAAGAAGGGGAACTTGTGGCAGGGGCCGGCCTTTGTCACATCCCGCATGACATGAGCAGTGGGAGAACAAGAGGGGGCGGCGAAGGGTTAATAAATAAAAGAAACAGCAGTCAAGAGTTAAATGAGCCAGGGGCCAAGGGTCTCCAGCCTCATGGACTAAGAGCCCCAAATCGGGCGATGTATCGCTTTTATTTCTCCACCTACCCGGAAGTAGCATTGTTCTCTCCACAGTCTGTGAGTCTCATTCCTNCAACTGAGCCACTTGGCCAGCCCTCTTTCTTCTTTTTTTAATAAACAAAACATTGATGGCTTTCAGGAATGGAGCTGTAGACTTCACCCAGAAGGAATAGCAGCTGTTGAGCTTTTTCTCACATCAGGTATTGTTTTATCACGTTGTGTTTGACACGGGGTGTCCCTTCAGTAGGGGAAATTTGGTAACGGATAACGGCTCAGTCCAAGGAAACCGCTTTATTGTTACTCTCAAGATGGTCTTCAAGTCGTTCAAGAAAAGGGAAGACTGAAGCCCTAGGTGCGAAAAGAAATTGAAATCCAGGTCCGTCTACATTAAGGATAGTCTCTGGATGAGAGTCTGGCGGAGCTCCGGATCCAGATTTCTGCTTCACCGCCACCTCTGAAGCTCTATCACACTTCCTCTATGTTTGGCTCTGTGGGAACTACGTTACCCAGAAGGCACTGCGCCCTGAGGCGCCGGTGCTCGTTCAAGAAAACGGTCGTTTTTCGTGCGTGAGGCACGCTCTGGGCAGGACTTTCGGCGTTGCCTTAGGGGAGGTGACATTCGGGTTTCTGGGGTCGGTTCTTCTAATCCGAAACTCCTGAAAGCTGTTTTTGGGCTGGGGTGACGAGAAGGGACGGCGAGAGAAGAGGCAGGCTTTGTCCTCGCTGCACAGAGGCGGTTCTGAGGCCCGGCAGCAGCGCCCGGGTGACTCCGATTCTGGGTCGGAGATAGGGATGCCCGGGGCGTGACCTGGCCCTCCGCTCCTGGCCCCGCTGTGTCCACAGAGGCCGATGTTGGCGGCGGCACTGAGGGGCCCCGTTCAGGTGAGTGCGTGTCCCCAGGACCTCACCCCACCTGAACCCTAAGGAAGTCAGTGCAGTAGACTAATAGAGAGTTCTGGTGGGGACTGGACCATCCTGGCCGCAGTAGAGCGGGAAGGAATGGTCAGATCTAGGATGCATTTTAAAAACTGAGCAGACAGGTAATGAAGGACCATCCCTTTTTTGTTTGTTTCCTGAATATGTGGAAGGATGGAGATGAAGTTAGCGCAGGGAGCAGGTTTCAGGGAAAAGATTAGGAGTTGGATTTTGGACATGGGTAACCCTGAGATGTCCCAGAGTGGAGGTATCACATGGGTAGCTTTCTCACTCACATCTGGATTTCTGGGGAGGGCTGGAGATATCCAAGGGATATCATCCAAGGGATGGATGGTGGGTGGTGGCCTGGACCAGTGCAAGACCTGGGGTCTTATTTAGGAGGGGGAATCTTAAAGTTCTTATTTCAGATGGGCCTGGAGTGTGGAGCTGCTCCACAGGGGTGAATTCCTGTGGTCCAAAATGGTTCTGCATGGTGTGTGTAGGAGTAGAGGTTTGTAGGGCATAAGGACCCAGGACTGGGATGGAATCAGAGATGTTAAGCGGTATAGATGTGCCACTCCAGGCTCAGCAGGCACTCATGTCCACTCTTTGTAGAGAAAAGGCAAGGTCAGCCAGGCTAGTGGAGCAGCCTTTTTGGGGCCTAATTTCCCTCAGCCTTCAGGGAAGGAGGGATGACCAAGTGCTCCAATGGAAAGGCCCCAACAGGAATGCCTCAGGAGAGTGCACAGCAGACAGCCAGGTTGCCAACAGGACTAGTATCTACTCAGTTTCCTCAGGCCCAGGCCCTCACTTCATTAACTTGTGAGTTTATGAAATAAGTATTTATTTAAAAACTAGTTGATAAAATACATATGTGTACATATATATGCATATATATGTACACATATGTGTATATTCATGTATACACATATATACTTATACATAGGTAGTTAAAGTAATGTGGATTTAATAAGTTAAAGTGATGAAGCACTTTGTAATTGGCTGAAATCTTAATATACTGCTAAGCGTTTGATTCAAGTCAGATGGTTGGGTTTTTTTTTAAGATTTTATTGGGGAATTGGGGGAGGGGAACAGTGTTGGGGACTTGGGAAAGGGGAACAGCCAAGTTGCTGTCCTTCAATCCTAGTTGTGGAGGGCGCAGCAAGCTCAGCTTCAAGTCCAGTCGTGCCGCTCAGCTCAAGGTGCTGTGTTCAATTAGTTGCAGGTGGGCATAGCCACCATCCTATGCAGGAATCAAACTGGCAGCCTTGTTGTTAAGAGCACGCACTCTATCTGTTGAGCCATCTGGGCGGTTGCTCAGTTCAAGGTGCCAAATTCAGTCTTTAGTTGTGGGCGGGCGTAGCCCACCATCTTGAACAGGCAACCTTGTTAGGAACACGTGCTCTCACCAGCTGAATCATCCTGCCTGTTGGCAGCTCAGTGGCAGTTCAGCTCAGGCGCAGCTCACTGGCCCATGTGGGAATCGAACTGGAGACCCTGTTGCTCAGAGCTCGCACTCTTGAGCAAGCTCTTAATCAACTGAGCCACTTGGC